AAGGCCGGATAGCCAAGGCCCTCCCCTGCAACCTACCTGAGGATGTCACCCTCATGCCCTTCCCCCTCCCCGATCTAGGGGCCCTGGGATGGAGATGTAAAGAGTCTGAGGGCCATCCACCATCATCGGTTTTTTCTCCTTTCTCTTTGCAGGGTATCCTGGTAGAGTGGGAGAGTGCATTGGACTGTCAGAGGACCTGGGTTCAAATCTTATTTCTATTACTACCTGTATGACCTGAGGAAAGTCACTTCACTTCGCTGGCCTCAGTTTCCTCATCTAAAAAATGAGGATATTATATTAGCTAGTGTCTGAGGGCCCTTTCAACACTAGATTCATGACTACCATGCAATGATTATTTTATGTTTATTACATATTTAAAATTTTAATGTAATGTTATTAAAACCGTAATAAATTCTCAGTGGTATCTGAATAAATTGTGAGCTAATAAAATCATTTGCATATATTGTTTTATAAGAAGTGGAGACAAGGTGACAATATTCTGGAAGAAAGGAGGAAGAGAATTACCAACACTTGGAAATCCCGGCCCTACCCAATTTCATTCAAATACGTAATAGAGAGGTGCTGCGCAGGGTAGAAAGCAAGCCCTGGAATCATCCAGATCAGAATGCAAATCCTTCCTCTGCCTCCACCTCTGGGACACTCTGGCTGGATCACCTGGAACAAGTCACTCACCCTCTTGGTGCCCCAGGGAACTCTCTAAGATGATAAATCACAGGAAAGTTGCCTATCTATATGGTAGGATTTCTCTCTGGGAGTTCCCTACACTGCGACATCATAGATCTGGAACAACAATGACACAGCCATTTGATGGGCTCTCCATATTGTAGAGACTCCATTTACCTTTCTGGCTGACAGTCAAGAACTCTCTTCGAACTGAAATAATCCATCAATTACTAAAAATTGAAAAAGACCCCTGGGAAAAATCACTTGGAACCAGAACAGTTTAGAATCAGCCTTGAAGGGTGGACTTCAATCTTTCCTAAATAATTTAATTTAATTAAACTCTAGTTGGTGATGTTGATGGACTCTAGATGCAAAAGGGGAAATATAGTTTTTGGAAATAGCTAATGCAGGAATCTGTTTTACTTGACTATGCTCATGAATTAGAAGGGTTTTGTTTTTCTTTTTCCAATGGGGAAAGAGTAGGTGAGGAGAGAAAATGTATTTTTGCTCACTGAAAAATAAATAAAATTAAATAAAGCCTAAGAAAAATATAGTTATCGTTTGCTTAGGAGTGGCACCAAGTGTGATTCAACCCATATTTAAAAAGAAAAGTAAATGTTTTCCCTAAATTTATAGATAGATCAGTCTATTCAATGTCCCTCTGAAACCTGATGAAGGCTTTCTGGGCAACCAATTGAAGAATGAGTGCTTTCAAAACTATTATGTGATAAACAAGAAGGCTTCAGGTAGACTTACTACACCATTAATCACATTGTTCTACCCCACATTTTCTCATCAAGAAAACAGTTTAGGACACCTTAGGACTATTGGCAACATTCATTAATATTTTTTCAGTCTTTGATTTCAGAGAGGAACCACCAATCAGTCAAACAATACACTCCTGATATGAGCCAGGGGCCATTACCGTCTCTTAAGGGCCTGTGGTCATCTTGCTGCTAAAATTAAAGAAACTGCCATTTGATTCCTTAATGGTGTCCAAAAGACCTACATTCTAACCTTCCTCTTTTTAATTTAGATCCAAACAATGGGGGAATGCATTGCAGCTAGAGATGCACCATCCTTACCACTGACCTATTATTATTGTCCATAATAAATAGGCTTAAACAGTGGCTAGTAACCATCAGAAGGAATACATCTGGGTCAATTATACCTGATAAATGAGGCTAAATAAACCCATCCCACAAGTCAGTTCTTTTATCTATGCAGTGGTGCGTCATAGAGCTGACTTTCCACTGGGGCCCATGAGGAAAGAGCCCACCTGCCCTAAAATCAGGCATCCCACAGCCAGTCTTTAACAGAGAGATTCTTTCACCAGCGATATTCCAAAACTCTTGACCAACACATCTGTCCAGGCTGCCGTGGTGTTCCATGGCACGGAACTCAAGGATCTTGGCCAAACTTCGTACAAATGCTTGAGAGAATTCCTGAGGAACATATGAGCCCTGCTTCATCAAGCCTGCCAGCTGTCCACAGAGGTCCTGAAGCATAGTGGGCCTCTGCATGGAAGCTCTAAAATGTTCACAGCAAAGAGACAGCTGGGCCCACCTAAAAACATGGCTCTTTCAATACAAATACAGAAGACCAAGAGTCATTCACTAAGAGATGACTGGTCAAAGGATATGAACAGTTAGTTTTCAAAAGAAGAAACACCAATACCCACAAACAGCGGGGGAATCCCTAATAATAAGAGAAAGGTAAATTCAAACAACTCTGAAGTTTGACCTCAGCCCTCCAAAGCAGCAAAGATGTTAACAGACAGAAATCATCAACACTGTGCAAAAGCAAACACACTAATACACTGTGGGCAAAAGTGTGAATTGAAACATTCTGGGAAAGCAAAACCAAATTTTGTGAGGAAAATTGTACGTGCCCTTTGACTCAGCAATCCCACTGCTGGGTATATACCTCAAGTAGGTCAGTAACAGAAGAAAAGGCTCCATGCATATCATAATATACACAACACAATTTTTGTCATCACCAAAAATGGGAAATAAAGTGGATGCCCATGACTTGGGGAGTGACTAAGCAATAGGTGGTATACGAATTTAATAAAATCGTATTGCATTTAAGAAATAGCTACTGTGAGGAATTCATAAACACATGGGAAGCTTTCAATGGGCTCCTGCAGAACAAAGTCAATAGAGTCCCGAGATCAATAAACATGGGGACTCCAGTGATGTAAAACCACCAAAAGGCAGCTGAAGGAACCCTGATTCCCAATCTTGGTCCCAGAGAAAGTGATAATGGAAAATACCTCCCTCTTCTAAGAAGAAAGAGGTGGGGGGCTGCTAATGTGGAATGTGGCATGTACTTTTAGACACTGTGATTTTATCTGTGGATTTTGTTTAAATGTTTTTCTTCGTCACAAGGAATGGTTAAATGGTATGAAGAAGTTAAAAGGAAATGATGTAAAAAAAAAGATGCCAAAAAAAACTTTAAAAATAAAAGCCTGGCTCTAACTTTCATGGAATCTCTGCATTATAGGCACTTGTTAGAGAATTCCATCTTACAAAGCAATCTAACACCAATAAATGGCTCAGTAATGCATTTGGTGTCTCCTGGATATATTAAATGTTTCTTCTTCTAGACTCTCTTTTTTTCACTTTCAGTTTTATCAATTTTTTTCCATTCTATATATTTACAGCTCATTCCCATTTATTTCATGAGATGGCTCTTAAAACAAAGTAAAGTAATTAAGTAAAATTAATAACACAGTGGCCTCATCTGAAAGTGTGCGCAATACTCCATATCTGTAGCAATCCCCTACATCCTCTCTATTTACAAAAATGAACAGAATTCAGTTTCCTCTCCCTCTCACCCGCTGCCCCATAGAAAGAAAGAAAGAAAGAAAGAAAGAAAGAAAAAAAGAAAGAAAGACAGAGAGAGAAAGAGGAAGAGAGAGGGAGGAAGAGGGGAAAGGAAGGATGGAAGGAAGGAAGGAAGGAAAAAAGGAAGGAAGGAAAAGAGGGAGGGAGGGAGGGAGGAAGGGAGAGAGGAAGAGAAAAACAAAAAAATTCACATTCCTTATAACAAATATGTAGAGTCAAGAAAAACCAACTCCCCCAGTAGCTGCACACAAGAACAACCGCGCTGCTTTGCATCCTGCATCTATCGGCTCTCTGTCATGGACAGCATGTTCCGTCATCAGTCTTCTCAGATCGTGAATGGGCCTTGTATTGATCACAGTTCTTACAATTATCTCAGTGTAGCTGTTGAATAAATTGTTCTGCTCATTTTATTTTCCGTTAATCTACAAAAGTCCTCAAAATTGTTCATGTTTGTAATCTTGATGTTACAGTATAGATTGATCTCCTAAGTCTGCTCGCTTTTCTTGGCCCCAGCTCATACAAGTGTCTCCGCTTCTCTCTGAAAACACCCATTCCCTTCTTTCTCACAGCACCGCAGCACTCCCTCACATTCACGCCCCACAACGTATTCAGCCGTTCCTTAATTGTCGACTTCCTCTCAGCTTCCAGTTTTTCACCATAACTGTTGTCTAGATTCTCTGAGCGGTCTCCCCATATTGTCACATTACTAACAGGTGAATGCCAGGACTCTAGGATGTCGGTACAGCAGAGAAGAATGCTCACTAAGCAAGAATCCAATGCCTTTAGCCCTCCTAAGGAAGAGAAAGACGTGTCCACTCGAGCAGCGTACTACCTTACCCAATGTTCTTTATACAAGGACCAATCTGCTCTTCCTTCAGTTTAGAACAGAGGGAAAGGCTTTCTATGGCCCAATGTGCATACTCTTTTTGTGGAATTCAACGTTTCCCTTTTTTTCTTAAACTGCCAAGTTCAGTGCCCAAAAGTAGGCAAAGGCAAGCACCTGAAAACCATCCTCTCTTGCTTTCCTTTCACGGACTTTATTTTATCTTTATTTTATTTATCTTTATTTTATTTTACCACTTCGGCACCTAGGTAGCACAGTGGATAGAGAGTGCTGGGCCTGGGGTCAGGAAGACTCATCTTCCTGAGTTCCAATCCAGCCTCAGATACTTACCTTGGGCGAGTCACTTCACCCTGCTGGTCTCAGTTTCCTCATCCATAAAATGAGCTGGAGAAGGAAATAGCAAACCATTCTAGCATCTCTGCCAAGAACACCCTAAATGAGGTCATGAAGAACCAGATGTGACTGGAAACGACTGAGCTGTTGTTGGACATCCTATCACTAATCGCTCTAGCATATCTAAGGTCTGATCCTGTAAACTGCCCTAAAACCAAGGGGCAGCAGCCAGGGTGCACGTTCCCGACGCTCCCGACGCTCCCACACCCGTGTCTTCTCAGTCACCTTACCCGCATACAAGTCTGTTTTTCACCAATGCTGTGAAGATCTCCTGAAACAGTTTGTGTTGCGGATGTTTGCTAAAATTTCTCTCATTCTTGTAGTTTACGCTGAAGCAAAAAAAAGAGAAAAATGTCTGAAATGTTCATTTGCAGGAATGTATCACAGCACAAAATCCAAAGGAATCTTACTCTTAAAAGCCCACAGATAACAATCTAGGTGAGCACCTATTATCTGGACAAAGGATAATTGGCAACGCAATGACCAAACACCGTTCCATTCCCTACCATCTTCTTTACGGAATTTAATCAAATGCATTGCCTCCTTCCTAAAACAAAATTTAGCTTCTAAAAATGGTGGGAGGGAAGGGAGGGAGGAAGGGATTAGTGGGTGACATTGCCTCAGCCGCAGGGAATCCTAACGGTGTTCTATCCTTCGACAGAATTCGCACCAGCCTGGCTTGGCGGCTCCAGCTACGCCCAGCCAGGGGTTCCCTCTTCCTTCAGAAGCAGGGCTCCATTAGCTCCAGTTCACACCTCTTGAAAAGACTCGGAACAAGCCTACCCAGGGTGAGAACTGTGGGTGACTTACAGTCACCGAAGTACTTTGTCACAGGGGAAATTATAGAAAGAAGACATATTTCAAAGTTCCATGAAAAGTGAAAAAGAAGAAATTAAGTCAGGGAGAACGGTGGTAAGAAGAGGGGAAAGGCTTCAGGGAAAGATCTATGGTTTTACCCTGTGGGCATCAAAAGAAGAAAAGAACTTTAGTACTCAGGGATGATACGGTCATTCCAACCACAGAGGAAATCAAGAAATAGGATACAATACAGAGATGGTACAGGGGCAGCTAGGTGGTGTGATGGACAGAGTGTTGGGCCTGGCGTCAGGAAGACTTGAGTTCAAATCCAGCCTCAGATACTTAATAGCTATGTGATCCTGGGCAAGTCACTTAGCCTCACTCTGTCTGCATCTGTTTCCTCAACCTCAAAATGGAGATAATAAAACAGCACCCACTTCACAGGGTTATTGTGAGGATCAAGTAAGATATTTGCAAAATGCTTAGCATGGCACCCAACATGTAGCAGGGGCTTAGTAAATGCTTATCCTCTTCCCCTAGGAAAAGAAGAGAACCTGACAACAGTTATAAGATCATATCTCTAGAGCTGAAAGGGACTTTAGAAGACATAGAATCCCCTCCCCTCATTTCCCAGTTCTAATTTCACTAGAGAGAAAAGGATATGGAGGAATGTTGGACCATGGAATTAAGCACTGGGTGGGGCCTTGGAAGTCAACTAGGTTAACACCCTCATTTTACACACTTACCAGTGAGGAGACTGAGGCCTAGAGAAGGAAAGGTCTTGCTTAATCGATATGGAACTCAAACACCAGCCTCTTGGTCAAAATCCAAGGTTCCAACAGAGTACCACAAAACACTTCTCTCCTAATAATCTTAAGTGAATTCAGATGTTATCTTATATTCGGTAAGGAACAGGCCATTAGTAGTTTTCTGAGTACAGGGGGCACTAGGAAGATTACTTGGAAGTTACCAAGATATAGATTTCAGTTAATTAAAGCTGCCTGCCCAAGAGTCCCAGAGGCTGGCTCAGGAGGTAATGAGTTCTCCATCTATAGAGCCTTGATCACTTCCTGTTGGAGATGCTGTACAGGGGCCTTCTGCTCAGATCTGGGTTGGTTTGAAGAGCCCCCCTTCCAACTAGGAGGGTCTCTAATTCCATGAAATACAGGAAGGGAGTTGTGGGGAAAACTTAGTATAGAAGAAACAGATTTGGGAGTCATTGGAATCTACAGAAGTCAGTGAAAACCTCGGCAAGGGAAGATACCCAAGTTCATGGGTGGGAGGAAGACAAGGAGCTAGAACATCGACCATGATAACAGCTTTGGTATCACAAGAAAAACCAGTGTTGAGGGGTGGGAGCGGAGAGCTGGCAGCTATCCAATGAGGATGAGTCATCTCGGAGGCTGAACACTAGGCAATAAGGATATCTGTGCTTTAATGGTATAGAGCAAAAAATCCCGTGAAGCCAGGGATGAGATCTTCATCTAAGTTTTGTATTGAGATCAGTGCCAGCACAATGCCCGCAGAACAATCAATAAACATTTGTGAAATGAACACCCTTGCATGCCTCCATGATGGCCCACTCCCTAAATGCCAGAGTCAAAGGCAGACCATAGTGAATATTCCTATACTTAGCTTTGCCCATTGACCATTAACAGCTTTAAGACTGAGATGGAAAATGAGCAGACTATTAAAAGCGTGGGCTCCAACTTCCTTGTGCATATGTTCCCTAATTTTATAAAGAGGGTTTAAAATGAAAGCACCTGACCCTCTCGGATCTTTTAGAATTCCTGTACCTATCACACGGAATGTGCTGGGCAATTACAAAATTCTCTCTCAGTTTCAAATGGACATCCAAGGCTATTCAGGTCCATTCAATATTTATGTGGCACTTAGTGACAGGGGCTTAAGCACTTTAGAAAGGCTAAGAGAACTAATTTCTTAGAAGAGGTGTGGCCTCTAGGAATGAGAAGTCTCCAGGAGGTCTGAGTGGCGATGAGGAGATAAACATGGAGACAAGAGAATCACATTCTAAGTCAATGAAGAGAGACCTTTTCTATAGCTACCAACGGAAATTTTCTATTGTTGTGACAACCAATGTATTTATTAACCACATCTACCCAGATTAGCTGCTTCTTTTAGTTATACTTTGTTATGGACGGGAAGTAGATTGTTCAGAATAAAGGTCAGATTTAAACTGGACCCAACCAGATCAAAAATTCTGTAGCTGAAGAAGGTCCCAATGTGTATATGTCAACACTGGGTACAAAAACATTCCAGCCCTGTTCTGTCATTGGTCCCTGAAAAGACTCTCTATTTTGTTCCCAGGCCTGGATTAAAGTATTGCTTGAAGCTACCAGAGAAGGCTGTGAAAAGAAGGCCATACAAAGGCCAGTTCCAGTTTCAGCTCTCTTGATGAGTCAAAGGTCTCCATGTCTGGGTCAGGCAAATGCAGCCTTCCTCACCTGAAGTTTTCCAGTTCAACAGCCTCAGTTGACTCTTGCCATTGACCGCAACTTCTGTGTCCACCAGCCTTGATGGCGTGTTCTGATTTCGTCATACTATTCTGGGCACTGTCAAAATTAATGGCTGGAAGCTGCAGAAAAGACGACAATAATGAAAACGACAAAAGCTCGTATTTATCATATATATATATAAAACACTTTCTAATTACAAAGGTCTTCAAGTAGCCAGAAACAAAATAAAATACAGGAAGAAATAAGCTGCCTGCAGAGTGGGTGTTTTGCGTGTAACTCCCCAGAGAAACTCAGAAGAACAGTTAATAAGAGCTATGGTCATCATTTCCATAAGGCTGCATCACTTTACATATGTAAAAGTCAAGCACTTTACATATGTGATCTCGTTGGATCCTCATAGCAGCCCTGGGAGGTAGGTGCTACTGTTATTCTCATTTTACAGATGAGGAAGGTGAAGCTGGAAGTGTTTAAATGACTTATCCAAGGTCCTATGCAGGCAGGATATGAACTCAGGTCTTCTTGACTCCAAGTTCAATAGTCTAACTACCACACCACCTCCATACTTCCAAAGAAGGGCCAGCTTTGTAGCAAATAGAGCTGACGCCATAAGATAAAAAAAGAAATAACACTAGAGAACTTTAATATTGAAAACTCCCCTCCACTCTCAGCACCCCCAGATCCCTATCACACAGCAGGCAAGGTCAGCCAACCTCACAAGCCTGTGTTTCAGGATCCAGCTGTGGGAATACAGATTCCTTTTCTCCATAACAGGGATTCAGGTCTGAATCCCACCCACAGCCCTAAGAGACAGAAAACTCTAATTCTGGCTTGCCACTTGAAGAAAAGTAATCGATGAAGGGAGACAGGGGCAAAGATGGAACAGGCCAGAACTGGTCAAAGGAAAGGGGATTCGGTGGCTAAGGGAAAGGAAATTTGCAGCCTTAGCTGAGATGAGTTTACTCTGGGCAAGGAAGGACCTGGGCCCCCAAACTGTCCAAGGCTAGGCAGCTGAGGAGGTGCAGCCTCAGAGGCTGGACCAGGAGAATGTTAAACTTGGCAGTGAAAAAAGGAAGGGTAGGCCCAAGATGGAGGAGGAACACCAGAAGCAAAGATGAGAGGAGAAAGGCAAAAAAAAAAGCCCAACAGAAGAAAACAAACAAACAGGGAAATTCACAAAGACAACAGAAAAAAATAATAAAAATGCAAGTTGAAGAAGGTCATAACACACTGAATACATTATATCCTCTGAAGGAAAATGAACTTGAAAATTCTAGCGAAAAAGAAAATTACATGGATCCCCCAGAGATCATGAGACAACATGAAATTCCTGAATGTTTCAAAAAAGATGACAAACTTTTAAAAGGGGATATGAAGATGGAAATTAAGTCAGAAAGCTGAACTCTCCAAGCAGAATTGAAAATGATAATAGAGCAGGCATCTTAGATCACGTGATGAAAACTATCTCCAGAAGAGTAGTGTCTAAAAAACAGAATGATATATTTGGAGTTCAAAAATACAGACAAGGACAAAACATCGGCAGAAAAGAAGCAAATGACCATTTTAAAGGAATGAATACATTCTAGTTGAGTCAAGGTAACTGGCTGGATATGTGGAATAAGAGGGAAGAGACACAGATGAAATTGAGGTTTCAAGGCTGGAGTAACTGGAAGAATAATGACATCCTTTTCAGAAAGGCCAAGAAGAAGGCTGGTTTTGGTAAAATGATCATGAATTCTGTTTTGGATACGTTAAGTTTAAGTTGTCTGTAAGACATCCATTTCAGAATGCCCAAAAGACATTGGTGATGGTATATTGGGTCTTAGGAGAGAGGCTAAGACTGGACCTATAGATCCAACAGTCGTCTTCATCCTGAGCTTAACCCATTCTTGTACAGCCTATACCTGAACAAAATAATAATACAGAAAGCACAAAAAAAAAAAAAAAACCAATCTCACTAGAAACTTAATAATGACTTCCTGGATCAAAGAACAAATCATAGATAAAATTATTAATTCTGAGAAAGAGAATGATAACAGTGAGACAACACATGCATTTTTTTCAAGAAGTAACTAAAGCAGCCATCAGATGAGAAATTATATCTTTGAAAATACACATTAACAGAATTAGTAAAAAGTTGAAAGAATGTTAATGAGAAAAAGATACCACATGTGACTGAAACAACTAAATTCTTAGGTTTTCAAATTAGTAATTCAAAATGAATGATGAAATTAGTAAAAAAAAAATTAGAACAGAGAATAATGAGAAAAAGATATAACATACAATTGAAACAATTCAAACTATAGCTATTTAAGTAAATAATTCATGATAATTGATCTCCTAAAGATTTTGTTTAGATACAAAGACAGGCATGTAGGTCAGTAGTTGTTCATATTATGACCTTAGTGACTTTTTTTGGCATTATTTAGGCCTAAGATTTTTTCCACACTTTTTTGTATCTTCTCCTCCTCCATGTACCTTGGGAAATGATCCCTCAACAGCTTCACAACCGTGTCTCTCCCAGGACAGATGTCCTTTATGTATAAAGTCAAATTGCTCAAATCCGACCGCTTTCCCCAATTTGTTTTATTGGGTATCATTTCTTCCTCCTCTATAAACACATTTGGGAAACTAAGTTCAAGTGCGGTGACTCTTCTGCATTCAATGGTAAAAAGTTTGTCATAAAAATTTTTGGTGCTCTTTTCCATTTTTCTTCTGTTTATGATCTCTTTTTTATTTTTGTCCTTACATACCCTTGGGGAACTTTACTTCCTTGAATCTAACGCCAAGCTTTTTAACCAGGTTTATCCTTCCACAACTTCTCTCTGCTTTTGTGACAATACTATTCATAGTTATCCATCATCCTTTTTTATAAGACTTCTACATAGACGTTAATATTCTAAACCAGTGTCACCATCGACCACCATCTCTATTTAGCAAGGAAGTCTAGGTTATGCTGACTAGGCTCTTTTGGTCTCCTTGTTATAACAGCTCATTTATATTAGTTAAAACTGCTGTACAAAATTATTGTAATCAGCATTGATGTCATTCCTGCTGTCTGTTACTCACTGATCATTTAAATAGCTATTTAAATGTTCATATAGCTATAGAATGAATTGTTTCAATTACATGTGATATCGTATTCTTTGTTCTAATTTTTTTTTACTTATTTTTACTAATTTCATTATGAATGACTAGTTTAAATACCTAAGGACTGAGCTGTTCCAATTGCATGTGATATCTTTTTCTCATTAATATTGTTTTGACTTTTTACTAATTCTGATCTTTGGTATAGTGAGTTAATGGCCCAACTATACACGAACAGCTGATTGAGGAAATTAGTCAATAATTTGAATAATAATGTATGATCTGCTATCTGCTTTTTTGGTCACTGAAATATGGCATAAAATTAGTCCAGGTGTGAAAACACCTGAAGTTAGCCTAGGATAGGGCTCAGAGTGTAACACGCTCAATGGGGGGACAAATTACCTAGCACTTCCAGAAAACTAATCAGGATGACACCTAATTGAGCTAAGGCATTATGCATAAGGTATCTAGAATACAACATGCTAACTTCTGGTTTCTGAGAAGTGCAATGGAATCATATATAGCAAGATCTCTCTCCAAGGTATCAGGTGAACCCACATTGGGTGGCATATGCTTATCTTATTTCTACTGAAGCCTATGATGAAAATACAATATAAACATGCCAATCAAATGGCCTCCAAATCTTTGGGGATACATATTTCACTAGGGAGCATTTCACTTATTTCCTTGTAGGAATTCACTTTCTGATACAGGTATGGTGAAATGACTATTAGAAAGAAAACAAGCGTCACTTCTCCAGACGACGACCACAGATGAATTCTGTAGGGAAGTTCTTGTGTCTGCTGGGAGACTGGCTGGGGGAGAAGATGCTAGAATCTAGGATATCAGAGCTACAAAGGACCATAGTTTTCATTTAGATATTCATGTTCCTAGCTAATATGGAAATTTGTTTTACATGACTATACATATTTGTATTAGGTTACATTTGTCTTGCCTTCTCAACGGATAGGAGAAGGGGAGGTAGGGGGAAGAGAATTTGGAAGCAAAAATAAAATAAAATTTAATTTTAAAAAGATACTAATGTTCCCTACTCCCACAAACCCCTCAGATTGTTTTGTCTAAATGGAAAATACAGGAGTATTTCATTTAAGGCATACTCAAACTGTGAAAAATCCAGGTTTAATAAATAGTGAAACATTATCCTGTTTACAAAAGGATTTACCATGGATTTCTTTTACTGACCTTTTTATGATAGTTTTTTACAAAAATTTAATTTACACAGAATTTTTATTTTGTGGAAATTTATTGTGTTCTCTGCAGCATTATTTGTGTGTGTGTTTTGTCGGTGTAGTTTTTGGGGTATCCCGTTTACAAATGAGCACCCAGAAACCCTATCCCAGCAGCAAGACGCTCTTTGGGTCAACACTCATTTTGATAATGATTGCTAAGTTCATCATGAAAGAGAAAGTTTGACTTTTAAAAATAATTGTTAAATTATTTTTGTTATTTTATATATACTACAACATTATATAGATCATGCAACTTTAGAAAGTTTAAAAATTCAAATTATTAATAAAATTCACAAAAGCTCTGAGATACCAAGTAATTTTTTATGGGAAATGAGGTTTCCCAGCTTGTTAAATTATATGTAGTCAGTAAATATCTACTGGCTATAAATATTAATTTTAAAAATACTTTTTAAAAAGGATTAATTAGGAGAGAAAAAAGAATCTAAAATTCATTAGCCTCCACCAACAAGTATTGGCTTTTACAACTGAACCAAATGACATGCTATTTTAAAACAACAGACTTTTAACCAAATAGCAATTAAACTGAAAAAGAAAGACACCCCCCCCCATGCTCACAGACAGGATACTCTTCCATAGGTTATCCCAACCCCAGATAAGGAGGGTATCCATGTGGGAATACATGTGCCCAGGGAACACGCATGATGAAATACATGCAACAAACCCAGGTGGCCAGGGTACACAAGTGGCTGGGGCAACAGTTCACATCCCCAGCTGCCGGACTGCCGTGTCCTATGCTGTCACACTGCTCTCTGCCAGTCTCTGCT